ATGGTGATGTTAAAGTTTCATATAATGCTACTGCATCTCCCTGTTCCAAAGCCAGATCGATCTTTGATAGAGCCGTATGTGCTAGAGAAAGAGCAAAGTAGGGACTGAGGGAAAAGCTAAACATGGTAATCATCAGTTTATACAAAATAGCCCATGAAGGTATATTTTCCTCAACACTAATCTCTTGGAAGCCCAGATACAGAGTGTGAACTGGACACTCCAAAAGTCAGTTAACCCAGGAGGACTTCAGCTATCAGATGAAAACATGTATTAGTTAAGGTAGCAAGTTTAGTGGGGATACTTTATTTCATAAGCAGGGAGGGAAGGGATTTGGGATATTGCAAAACATGGTTAATTAACACATACAGCAAGGACTGTAACCTCACTCTGTCCAAAGAGAAAAGATGGAAGGGGGAGTAGAAGTCCATTTTGATTACTAGGGTTACCCAGTCACTGGAAAACTTACTGTTCACTTTGTTGATATTGCCCTGAATCTCAGCTTGAGTCAGCAGCTCTTCGTACACATCTCTCTCTCTCTCTGAATTTTCAGAGGCAATCTGAAAGTCACGGGGAGGGGGAAAAAACCCTATCAGCACAACTCTACAGCAGACTTTGCAATGCACCACTCACAAACTCTGTATATCTCCCTAAGATAGAAGGGAGACCCACATGGGGCACAATGCATGCCCATGGCACAGGGCTGATCAGCAGGCCAGTTCCGGCTCACAGTTCTCCACCTCTCCCCCAGCACACCTGATCTGTTGGTTGTCTGCACAGCTTGTATCCCAGGGCTGCCATTTGTTGCACAGTCTGGCTGGAGAAACAACCCCAATGCACACTGTGGCCACCCTAGCTGGACTTCACCCCATGTGGCACCTGCTCTGGGATGCACACTCACACGGTACCCTGTGTAGCTGATTTGGGACTTGTGCCACACATGGTGCTCACTGGTTCCACGGTGCTCACTGGTTCCACTGGGTCCTAGTCCAGCTGGAGCTGGTGCTGTGTGACGCGTCTCACAGCTGCTGGGGCAGGTACCATGTGTGGCACAGTCTGGCTGGGGCCAAAATCACATGCAGCCCTGCTGCTGCTCCAGCACATGGCACCTGTTCTGGCAGCTCTGGAATTTGTGCCACATGACCCATTGAAGCAGCCTCCAGATTAGATATGCTGGGGGACAGGACGGGGGAGTTCAGGGCCAAATCCAGCCCATGGACTGGCTCTGTGCCACTCACCCAACCTGCAGGGCTGGATAAGTTTGACACCCCTGCCCTAACAGAAGGTGAAGCAAACCTAACTATGCTCGCAGTGTGTCCTCACAGATGACATAATAGGTCAATGCCTCGTGTGCAACTAAAAGCGTGTCTTGAAAGTGAACTATAGGTACACCCACATAGTGTGCTTCCTTGAGCTCTACAAAAGGATATGCACTTACATAAGCTTGTGGCATTTCATTTTATAGTACACAGCAGGAATTCAAACACACAGTTCCAGTTATGCATTAGACACTGTTCTCAAACAATGCAGATGTTCTAAACCAAATAAATGCTCCCGATATTCCAGGACAAGTAGAATTCTCTACATAGCTTCATTTACTAAACAGCATATTTCCACGCAAGCTTTTGATAGCATGGAACAGACGGTTCACTCACAGGTCAAGTGCACTTTGAGTATGAGATTTACTAATCAATCACCAGTCTACCCCACAGATGGAGTTTTAGAAGTAGACGCAGGCTTTGTGGTAGGGAGATTTTGTCTCCCTAAATCTGTCTAAAAAGGGAAATGATTGTCAAAGAAATCCTATGAAACTAGAGAATAGTTTTTTTTTCATAATTAAAATAAGACATTTCCTCCATTTTCACATCTCACACCCTCAGGTGTCTCCAGGTATAAGGTAAGTTAGCTATAGATCAAGGTCAATGTCAGTCTTTTTCTATGTTCTAATGGGTCAAAATTTATCTCTGAGGGCCACAACAGAATTTCACCAGAGATCAGAGATCAATCTGACCTAGGGTCTTTAAAAAATGACAGAATAATAGGCTGTTATTCACTGATAATTTCTTCTGATGGACGATGAATCCAATACGATGAACACAAATTCATAGTTTAAAGAATTCATTTTACCCGGTTTTTAGCATTCTCCATCTTGTCCTGCTTTGCCCGGTACAGTGTGTCTTGGTAAGTGGGTGCCAGGAGATCACTGAGATTCACCAGCATGGCATTAGGATTTTTCATTGCCGTAAGTGTATCAGCCGGGACTTGGTGGTCTACTGCTTCATTAATGGCAATCACAGCAGCATGCACTAAAAAAAAAAACAAATCACAGCTTCTTTGTTAGCCACAAAGATGACTGCTCTGTCTGCAACCAATTAAGGTTGTCACTGGGAAAGAAAAGAGCAGCTGAGCTTTGGTATAAAGACAAGAATGATCAGCATATACCTGGGATTCTGGTCAGGCTTCAAATTTTTGGCAAATGTAGAGTCTTATTTCATAATATTGTACTTTGATATTAATCAAATTCATATTTTCTAACAAAGAATGCTCCATTCACAGACTGCGTGAGCATAATTGATAAGGAACATCAGCCCCAGCAATGCAACACGTAACTGCTATCTAATCTGGCAATTCAGCTTCTCACAGAGAATTAAATTCCACTTCCACTTACATGCTGCTTCGTCCACAGAGAGTTCATTAGCTAGAATTCCTCCAATCTTGCTGAAGGCAGGCATCTGAATTCCGTATTTGTCCAGCTCAAGCCGCATGTTACTGATCTCTTCCTCTGAAATGTAAAGGAATGAAAGTAATGTAGGCAGCACATTCAGAATGAACAATGATATTTATTCCCCTATGTAAAACCACTACAATAAGTTGCAAGTTGCTCTTTCACAAATATTCTATGCCACAAACCGGGGAGAGTCTAAATGAATGCTGGTGAGAATTTGTATTTTCCCTTAAGTTTTCCCATATATGTTCCAGTCACTCCAAAAGAAGAAACCACAGAAGACTGGCTCACTAAACTATATCAAGAGTTCAGTGCAATAGTTTGAAGATGATTGTGTGAGCCTTGTACACCTCAAAAGGTGGCTACCAACAGGACTGAGAAAGTGTACCAGCAGCAGCATGTTAATATTTGCATACTTCTGCGGTTGGTGCTACAAACAAAAAAACCTAAATGTAAGGAAAGAGGATGGAAAAAGGGTGGAGAAATGCTACTGCTAACTGCACCAATGATTCAAAACATTCAGAATAAAACTTCCTCTAGAACAGTGCTTCTCAAAGTGGTGGTCCATGGACCGGTGCCGGTCCATGAGCCACCCGTCACCGGTCTGCAGCGAGTTGCCAGGAAAGAAAGAAATATATTTTCAGAAGCATAACACGAGTATGTCATAGCGCCACAGTTCGTACGTTCCAACACTGCAGGTGACGTCACATCGTGCGAGGTGAGGAAAGAGAAAGAAACAGCCAGGCGTGCATTTGTGTAGCGCTGTTACATGCAGTTGCTCCCACCGGCTCTAGTGGGCACCGGTCCCTGGCCCACTGGAAAAAACATTGCCGGTCCACCACATCAGATAGTTTGAGAAGCACTGCTCTAGAAGATCTCAAATCCCTCACTCACTCGACACAAATAAAATGCAAGTCTTGGCTGCTTTTCAGAGGTAGTCCCCTTTCATTGAGGATGTAAAGCATCATCTAGCACAAGAAACATCCAAACTCACACATGCTGAAATCCTGGAAAAGCAAGCAGGCACCATACCTGTGAAATCCACCTTCCCGTACAAGTCCTGAATCTGAGGAGCCAGTCCCAGTTTAAACAGGTACAAACTAGGAAAGAGGACATAAGGATAATTAGTACCACTTAGCTCTTTGGGGCTCTAATGCTGTTCAAACATAAATTAAGGAAGATAGATACAGGGAAAAATTCAGCTAAATGGAAAGACTTCCAGATTGAAAAGGGAGATTTAAACAACTGTGATGACAATCTGTTCCCTCATGCATAAAAATTACACCTGAAAATAGAAAGATCCTTTGCTCAAGCCATGTGGCTTGGGACCTCTGGATTTAAAGTTCCCCTTGGCCACAAGACATCTGGTTGTACATCTGAGTATCTGGTTAGCACACAAAACCAGCTAGCCCTTGCTTACAGTCAAAAGCACACAATGCAGCCACCTCAAGTTAAAAAAAAAAAAACATACAAACCATGCCTACTACTGCCAGTTCCCTCTGCCTAATCTCCCCTCCCTCTCTCACCCCCATCACTATCTCCAAGTAGAAATATTTGGTCGCTTACCCTGCAGCAATGCCAGCTGTTCATCTGCCTGATCTGAATCTATTTGGTGCCTGTGCACTCAACAAAGAGACCCAACCTGAACACCCCACCTGGGACACCGGCCCAAACAGGCACTGTATCTTCTGGAGTAGTGGGGTGTATGCACCCAGGGGTGGGAGATGGCAGAAGCATGTGTTCAGAAATTGGGACAGGAGCACCACATACATGTCTGAAGGAGAAGAATAAAAAGCTCAGGCGGTGGACAGATACACGTTTTACACTCGTAGTTGCCATAAATGCAGAGGACTGCTGTCCAGGGGTTTGCTCAGAGATACAGTCTTGAAATAAATGACTGCATACTGTTCTTTTTGCTGGGACCCTGCCTCATTCACTGCATGCCTGCTGACCTGTATAGTGATCCTGCAGGTAAAGCAGCACCTGGACACACAAATAAGATGCAATACATTCACAGACCAGACACACGCAAATTATTGTGTCCTGATTTCAGAGCATCACCTGTAAAACTTTATTCTTTAAAACTTGTTTCCAATTTCCTAATCTTTGGTTTAATAAAAGAAACATACAACACAGAAATATCATCAGTACCTAGGATAAGACGAGCACTGAGGCAAGAGATCCTGAATAGCCCTTTCACTGGGCACACGTTACAGTGCTCAGTGCAATGCTTCCCATCTTATGCGATGCTTATTTTAGAATACAGTGAGAAAGCTCCTTCAGTTCAAAGCCTCTTCTAGACCAGCCTTCACAGAGCAGTGCACACAGGCCATACTTCAGTTTCCACTCAACTTTTTTAATCGTTCACACAGAAGCACTGTGTCATTAGAACAGTGAACATCTGCAGTAAAACTGCCTTACTGGGTGCTAAAAATTAACATGCAAAGGCAAAGTCTGAAGCAAGTCTTTATTACTTGGTAGCATCTAGACTAGTTTTCACTGGACTCCCAGTGCCCCCCCTTTCCCCCCCCAAAGTCTAACTTGGATATTGCTGTTGTGCTAAACCTCCAGATGTTTACCAAAAAATGAGACAATACAGCTGTTCAAAGAAGGCTGTACTTTTTTCTAAATAAATGAAAGTGTCCTTTTTCATTATTTATTCTTAAACAGCTCTTTGCAACAGACCACCTTGGACAGAAACTGTAGGTGAAAAATCCAGCCCAAAAAGTGAATATTCAAAAAAGCCAAGATGTACCTGAAAAGCATTTTTAAATAGAAATGTATCTTTATTATCCCAACACACTCTGCCTTCACTATTCTAAGTAAGGCTGTCAATTAACTGCAGTTAACGCGTGCAATTAACGTATTAATTGGTTCCTCTGTTAATTTTTTTTAATGGGTTAATCACACACGTGGTTTTGGAGCCTGCGTCAAGGCTTCACTTTGCCGCCTCCAGGGCAGCGGTGGCAGCTCAGAGAACCGCATGGCAGCCTGGGTGCAGGCTCTGGGCAGCTGCAGTGTTGGGGGGAAGGGCATGCACAGAGACACATGAGCAGCCACAGCCTGCATGCTGTGTATAGAGCAGTGCTGTGCCAGTAAGACTGTGGAGAGGAAGGGGCAGCGGGGTGCAGATCGAGGCCCCCACGGTGAGGAAGGGAGTGGGGCGGGGGCAGGTGCTGGAGTGAATGGGGCTCGGGGCCAGGGTGGTTTGTGGGATGGAGCTGCGGGCAGTTCATCTAGGGGTGCAGAGGGAGTGGGGGGGTTGTCAGGTGCTCCCTGCTGCTGTGTACACCCCTGGGGGAGGCATGGGGACATGTGCCCCCCGGATCTGTGCACAGGGCAGAGGTGGTCTGCTTGCTGTGGGCTGGGGTTCTGCACCCTTCTGCTTTTGCTCTGGGAGCCGCATGATGCCATGTTGTGCCTCTTGCCACCAGGCAGGAAGGGAGTGTGGTGCGGCCTGCACGTGGCTCCCGGAACAAAGACAGCAGGGTGCAGGGCCCCAGCCTCCAGCCTGCCTCCACCCTGTGCACAAGTCCAGGGGGCACATGCCCCCCCCCCCCATGCCCCCTGCAGGGGTGTGTGCAGTGGCAGGGAGCTGTGCCCCCTTTGCCTCAGACGAGTCACCCGCGGCTCCATCTCACAACCTGCCCTGGCCTCAGGGTCCCATTCACCCCAGCACCTGCCCCTGCCCCACTCCCTCCCTCACCATGGGGGCCTCAATCTGCTGCCTGCCACCTCTTCCCTTCCTCCCCCATCCCTCCTCCTCCACAGACTTACCTGCTGAACGGTGTGCGTGCGTGCATGTGTATGTGTGTGTGCGCCCCTCACTCCCAAGACACAGCCCCCATCCAGCCCTGCTGCTGCCCCTCTCTCCTGATCCACCGTACCCTGCATCCTGCCAGGGCATGTGGGGACCCCCCTCCCTGGTCTCCAAGCCCCACACACACACCCGCAGCTGCCCACACCTTCACAAATTCCGCCTGTACATCCCCTGCCCCAAACCATACAAAGTACCTGCATAATTTTGAGTTTTTCTATGCATAATTTTGAGTTTTTAGCTGTGCGATTAATTGCAAATAATTTTTTAAATTGTGCAACTAATCACGATCACATTTTTAAATTGTTTGACAGACCTTATTTTAAGCTCTTTTTTTTTTTTTATTTGTCTGCAATCTACTTCCTAGGGCACCTCATTTTATTTTCCTGAAATACAGATACAAAAAGCGAAGGGACTGTGGTGCAAAAAATCTCATTTCTCTTTTACTCATGGAAAGCAATTGTTTGTCCATTATTCACATCTCAGCAAAAATCCGGCACACACCAAATCCCTGGATCCGGATTTACACATGACTAGGAAAGAGGGCAGGGCTGAGACGAGACCTGGACTCCTGCCAATGGAGCCAAAGCACACCGAGTAACTGAGCAGCTATCACGAGGTTGCCAATAAGGAGGAGCTTCACCACTGAATGTCAGAAATCTCGCTCACACCAGTCACAGGAAGATATGCAACAAAGCACCACACTGGGCCACCGCATAACTCGATCTGACCCCTACCCTCAAGCATCATGCGCATTGCTGTCTGGGCTTAGAGCAGGTTCAGCACTAACAACTGATAACGTGATTTCAGATCAGCCTGACATTTCTATTGGCGCTCAGCTATTTGCAATCTGTCTGGATTTTCCTGTTCAGATTTCTCCCTGGCAAAAGATCAGAGAGAAGGAGAACAAGCTCCTTCTTGAGAACCGGAACTGAACATGCTGCAGATGGAGACCCACATGCAGTCAGCTCTGAGCTCTTCTACACAGGACCGTCTGCACAAGGAGTCCTCTTGACATGAGGCCATGTACGCTTCCTTCAACAATCAGGCTGAACACCTGAATCCAAACTGGCACCAGGAAGGAATAAATTCAGTGCAATGCCCCACTCCAGCTCTCTGGAGCACACAGTGGCAGTAAAAGAATCTCCCACAACAACAAATTAATGAGGCCCTGGAATTAAGAGAACAGCACAGTCAGATGCACCTTTCTAGAGCTCTCAAGAGTTAAGATATTGCCCCCTCTCAGCCTGTGCAGGATTAAAACTTTCCTTGGCTTTTTACAAAGCCCCCTATTAATTCATCCTAAAAATACACATGCTGCATACAAGAGACCTGACACACCCCACTCTTGACCTGCTGAAGCTGAAAAAACAAGCCCGAACAGTGTGAAAGGCATAGTTTAGCAGCTGAAAATAACAGTGTAATCTCTTCTCCTTGTGTCTCTCATGCAGGAGCCCCAGATACAGATCAGACAGTTAACACCAGTGAAAATCCAGAACTATTATAAATGCAGATACACCTCTTGGGAGACAGCAGGGCATGCATATTCTCACCCAGGATATTCTCCCTTCACTGGCATGACAAATTCTGTAGGTGCTACCAAAGTGAAAACAAAAGCCAGCCACCCTGCATGCATCTGGTAGGTCGTGGTGTCAAAGATACGGCCCATGGGCCAGGTCCGGCCTGCGCAGCTGTATTACCTGGCCCCCAGGCAGCATGCGGAGTGTGCCAGGTGGCCCTGCACACCTCACAAAGTGCTGCACCTGCTCACATCCCAGAGCAGTAGAGCAGCTCCTGCATGCAGCACAGCCCCAGAATGACCACGTGCCACCCTGGTGCCAGGCTGCATGCAGAGGCAGCTCCAGCATTTGGCGCAGCCCAGCAGTGGCAGCAGCAGCTCCAGGGCCATGCAGTGCAGCCCTGCAGCAGCTGGAACAGGATCGGGTTGCACGTGGCACCCACTCTGGCCACTCCAGAACTAGAGCTGAAAGGTGCAGGTTGGTCTGTGGGTCTGGTCCAGCCTGCACACTGGCCCTGCAGGGCCAGATGGGTTTGATACCCCTCTGGTAAGTGATGGCAGTGAAAAATAAAGGAGGTAAAATCTGTCCAAGAGAGGGCTTACACTCTGCTTGCAATCTGATCCTTGCAAGCATTTATCATTAGAAGTCTACTTTATTTGTGGTTTTGCGGTTTTCATGGAAACTGTGGCCATAGATCACTTGACTGAGAGTTACTGTCTGCTAATAGACTAAGAGAAGGTGCCAATCAGTGAAGTTAAAACGTTTCTATTAAGGTTAGCATTAACTAGTATTTCTAAGCTTTTTGTAGAACGCTACACATAATAATAAATTATGAAGATGTTACGATTTATATTGTATATACATTTATATTTATAATATATTTAAATGTTGATTTAAATTTAATATTTAGATTTATAACATGATAAACTATACGATGCACTTACTTTCTGCAGAATATGCTATTAAATTATACAGTACACTCCTCTCCATCAATCAGCAGTTAAAGGGCGGGGCCACTGGGAAAAGCCCGCAAAAATCAGCTCTTCATGCCTCAACCAAACAGCAAAAAATGGTTTCGTCTCACCGCGAGTTAAGTAGACCCTAATTCTCATTAAGGTCAGGTTGCTACATAATGTGATGCCATCTGTGCTGTGCCAGGAACAAATGCATTCTTCCATGGGATGGGACACGCTATGCTGAGTACTCCAGGATTCGGAGTACAGTGCATGCCTCCTACGCCTGCACCTTCACTAGTATGCACCCACGTGCACGTGCTTCCTGGGATAAGTGGCTCACAGCTGGCAGATTCCAGTGCCTTAGGATCTCAGCATGTACTTGCTACCTCCAGCTCCCAAATGCTTAGGGCACTGATTGTTGGACACAGCAATGACTGTCAGTTTACAGTCAGCATTACTTGTGGCATTAAGACTCTCCTTCAGCCCCAGAGTGTATTAATGCCATCAGTTCCCTATTCAGAGTACACGCACATCCTCTCAGCTTTTAGATGTTCACACAATCTTCGTTCCTAGTTTCCCGAGTATTCCTGAGCACTGTGCGTTACCTGAGCGCGTGGATGCAGTAGATGCAGCGCGGCATGTTTTTGCGATCATAGATGTCTGTAGTTTCTGGGTAGAAAATCTACAACAAACACATGGTAAGAGTCAGAACAGACCGGCTGGCCATGCATACAGTACAGGAATGGATTCTGGACTCTGATGAGCCCTGAATGCTCCCAGCAACTCTCCTCTTTCTCTCCTTTGTCCCCCATGGGCCCTTTGCCAGCTGTATCTTCCTCGCACAAAGTTGTTCCCTCTGCTTTCCTGCTCAGCTCCCATGTTCCTGCTGCAGGACCCTCCCTCACTTTGGCTCCTCATACAAACGCTGCGCAGTGCACCAAGAAATTGGCCAGGGTGGATGGAGACATGCAGGGACCCCAAGGAAGACAGTTCTGTCTGGACTGGTGGGAGAAGGGGCAGCACAAGTGGAGTGCAGCACCAAGCAGCAGCACGTGTAGCCTGACACACTGGCACTCGGGACACAGCAGCTCCCACTGTGACATTCCAGGACATGGAGCCTGTTTGGGAAGTCCCAGCGTTAGCAGGCTAACATGGTAGTTGTGACTGCACACGGCGTGATGACTACACAGGCTGCTTTTTTGGTTGTAACAAAACATTTAATGCTCTTACAACCCTGTAGGTTCAGGGTGCATCTTGCTGCTGCCTGTGCTCACAGAACAAGAGCCTCTGCAAAAATACACTGGGACTGGACAGACTCCCCCTCAGTCCCCTATACCCCAGGTGACAGAAACTGTAAAGCACTGCGTGTGTCGGTGTCTTCCTGATGCAGGTGAACAGGAAGTGTCTCAGCACAGCCATCACCCCAAAGGCTACCCAGGTCCAAGTCTCTGAAAAGACCTGTCCAGGTTTGCACAGTACTACTCAATTATTTTCTTTCCCAAAGCCTTAGCACCCCCAGCTTCACTCCCTTTCAGCCCCCATCCTTTCTCCTTTCACCCCACTTGTCTCCCAGTGAGCCTACTGCTACAATCCTTGCTGCCGTGCCAGCTCCTCTGGGTGGCCAGGTGTCTGTGCATGGCATGGCTGACTGGTCGGGAGAGCTGGAACTGTTTGGAGAACTTTCACAAAATCCAAAAACATGCCAACGTATATTCTTTTTTGAATGTAAACGGCAGGTTACAGCATACAATGCTGACCCCTGCGCAACAGAACACATGCCTGCTCATGTTACACACAAAAGTGGGAGGAAAAGTTAATTTGGATGCCTGCGACTTGCCTTTCAGTTTTCCATCCCTGTAGATTCATGAATTTTAAGGTACAAAGAGAGCACTAAATCATCGATGTTGGCATCTTACATAACACACACGTCAAAAAATTTCACCCAGCTACCAGTGTACTAAGGCCAGTAACTTGCAGTTGATGCAGTGGTTTTCAACTTTTTATCATCTGCAGACCCCTAAAAAATTTCACATGCAGGTGCGCATCCCTTTGGAAATTTGGAATGGAGGTGCGGACACCTCTGAAACTTAAGTGTGGATATTCATATACGTTCAATTGATCAGTCATCTTTTGTGGACCCTTTAGACCAGGGGCAGGCAATTACTTCAGCTGGAGGGCTGCTTACCAAATTTTGGCAAGCCATTGAGGGGTGCATGGGTAGCCCCGCCCCTTGACTGGTGCCCAACCATCCGCAGTACCACATGGAGTCAGCCGAGAATTGTGGGGCCCGGGCCAGGCTGGTTCCTGCTGAGTCCTGTGGTCCCAACAATGTAGCTGGGAACCACATGGTGCCAGAGCAGCTGATGGGTGGGCAGGAGG